TAGCATGTCCTAAATTTGATCCTCCATCTCGGAGAACTGTTGGTAGAGATATTTATCAATTGTATTTGGATCAAAAATTGCAATCGAGAAAGATCTTCCAATGGCAAAGAGTTTCTCTTACTACTGATACTTGGAATTCTATTCTAAACGTTAACTATATATCTTTTACTGCACACTTTGTTGATTCTGATTGGAAGCTTCAGAAACAAATTTTGAACTTTTGTGTGATTGCTAATCACAAAGGTGAAACAATTGGTAAAGCTATTGAGAATTGTTTGCCTTTATGAGATATTGAGAAAGTGTTTACAATCGCGATTGACAATGCATCTGCAAATGAAACGGACATTTTTTATCTCAAGAGGAAGATGATTGGTATGAGTAGTGATGGGTGTGTTTTGAATATAAAATATTTTCACATGAGGTTTTGTGCACATATTGTTAAATTGATTGTATGCGAGGGATTGAAGGAAGCACATGCATCAACTATTAGGATTCGCAATGCAGTAAAATATGTTTAATCTTCTCCTACTAGAGAACAAAAGTTTAAGGAGTGTATGAGTCAAGAAAAATTTGATTGTAAATCACTTGTGTTTTTTGATATACCAACTAGGTGGAATTCTACATATTTGATGTTGGAAGCCACTTTAAAATTCCAAAAAGCATTTGAAAGGTTAGAGGATGATGATGTGCAATATTGTAATTATATTCAGGATTATGATGGTGGTAGAAGAAGGGGTGGACATCCTAGAACTTTTGATTAGGAAAATGCTTCTGTTTTTGTGAAGTTCCTTCAAGGCTTTTATGAAGTAAATTTGAAGTTTAGTACTTAATCGTATTTGAGCTCTAATGTTTATCTTCACGAAGTATGTTCACTTATAAGCGAATTGTAAGAATGGAGTAAAAGTGGTGATTATCTTTTGAGTGATATGGCCAATAACATGAAGAAAAAATTTGACAAGTATTGGGGAAATATGGAAAAATGTTACTTGACCTAAGATATAAATTGGAGTATGCTGATTTTTGTTTTAGTGATATTTATGAGGATAAGGAAGTTGTTCGTAATATGACAAATATTTTGAAAGACAATATGATGTCTATTTACAATTGGTATGTGAGATGTGAAGCAAGTTCTAAAAGTAATCAAGTATCTAGTAATATGAATTCTTCAAGTGGGGTTTCTTCTACTGAAGAAAGTCCTACTTCAACGGTCTCTCTTAATCGTGTTTCTAGGTTTAAGAGAAAAAGGCAACGAAAGATTTGGTTGAACTTAAAAATAATGTTGATAGATACTTGTTGGATGCTTATGAAAATATAGATGATAGTGATTTCGATGTTCTTAACTGGTGGCGGGTTAATGGAAATAAATACGGTACTTTGTTCAAACTCATATGAGACATTAAGGCAATTCAAGTGTCTACAGTTGTTTCAAAAAGTGCTTTTAGTACTGGAAGAAGAATCGTTGATCCATTTCGTAGTTCTTTAACCCCTAAGATGGTAGAGGTTTTCGTGTGTACCCAAAACTGGCTTAAAGAATTTTTAATAATGGAGAGATTTTATATGGAAGATGTTGATGTATATAAAAAATTTGACGAAGGTAATATAATTATAGTTATTCTATGAATTATGTTAAATAAATGTGTTTTATTTAATTTATTGTTAATTCAATCTTTTTTTTTTTTAGAGCTTTTAGAATCAAATAAATCAAATGAAGGCTAAATTCAAGTTATTCGTGCATTTATGATTTTTATATGTAGATGTATAATGTATTCAATGTGCACAATTGGCTTCATCATTATATTATTAATCTTTTTTTCTAAACGTTTATACTATTTTATAGGAATGCTACTTCAAGTTATGCGAGAATCGAAAATTATAATACTCTACTTTATTATTTAATTTTTTAGAAGTTTGAATTTTGGACGAGTAGTATTTTTCTTTTTATTTATTTATTAAGTTTGGATTACTGTATATTTTTAAGTGTTGGTTCACTATAATATATTAGTATTTACTTTTCGTGCTTAATGATAATTTTAATGTATTTGGTTTTATTAGTATGATATTAACGTGCAGAAAAATAATCATTTAGGATGTAAGCTTTAATTTTTGTTCGTGAAAAAATTCAAATTATAGACCTATTCTTAGCGAATATTTGTGATTTATTTAATTTTAGTTGATTATGTTGTATGAATGACAAATATTATTTCATTGAAAATTTCTTATTGAAATGGTAAAAGTATTATTTATATTGAAGTCAATTAATGGATTGGAAAGTCTCAAATAAATTTAGTGCTGCAATAAAAAAAAAAAAAGTCCCAGCTGGACCTGACCCCACCCGACCCGATTCTAGTTAGGTCGATTTAGGGTAGGAACCGAGTCGGGTAGTGAAAGAGTCCAAAATCGAGTATGTCAGGTCGGGTGGGGTTAGGTTTGGGCCCAACCCGACCCATTGCCCACCAACCCAACCCATTGCCCACTCATACGTGCTTTGATGTGAACTCGAAAAGATATCATTTGAATCGTGTTTTGTTTGAATAATTATTTAAATTTGGAATATTTTAAGTTAGTATTTCTTGAAATTGTGAAGACTAAATTGTTGATGAAATTGTTTCATGTTGATAGAATATTTTTATTGTGGTTTATTTAGTTAATTTGAGTTGCAACACTAGGGTTTAAATATTTTCAGTTTTTGCCCCTAAGTTTAAAAACTCGTCCAAACCAAAATATTTGGAATTTTGAGGTGATTTTAATCGGTAAGATAGCCATATGTGTTTTCTATCTATCGAATTTGGAATCATGAATTTTGGTTGTGTAAAACTCAAGTTATGGACGTTTCCCCTAGGACCGCCAAAATATACCCTAGAACAAATAGATCCAATTTAGAAAATAATTTTGAACCGTCTATCAGTTGAATTTGTATACAAAATCTTAAGATGTAATTTTCCCATGTGTAAGATGTCTACAATTTAAATTTTGTAAATTTTAGATTTCATTTAGTTATCGAACGAAATTTATTTCAGAAATCTGTACAAACTGAAAATCTAAACTTTTTGAAAGAAAATTTCTTTGGTTTTGTAATGGATTCTCTGAAGCCTTAATGCTTATAGTCCAAGTTAGTTTCCACATTTCATGAACAATCTAGGTAGAATTTTATAAATTTAAGATCAGAGTAATGTCACGAGTTCCTTGAGCTCGAGGCATTACAATGAGGATATGAAAAAATGCTTTTCAAATTTTCATCATTTGTGATAGGATTTTCTTGTAACTTGCATTACGGTTTTTAGGGCAACTATTAGTAAATGTTTTCTTGGTGAGGGTCTGTGTTCTCTTTGCCATTTTCAAATCGTTTTCTATTTTCAATTTTTCAAAATAGTAAAAACGCATTCTCTTTCCTATTTTCGAAAACGCGTTTTTGAAAACAAATTTGTGAGTTTTTTATTATAATCAAGCCAAAATTTTCAAAACGCGTTTTGGGTGTTTTCAAATCAATTTTTCAAAATGTCAAAAAGAACAAATTTTCAACAATCTCAAAATTAACACTCAAAACTCAAAACATAAAGTTGAAACGCAAAGAGAACATCACCTGAATTTCTCTTTAGGGGAATTTTGTTCTAACATTATAATGAGAGGAAAAACAATTTTTTGGAAATGTATGGTTAAAAAAAAAAAAAGAATTTTTTATTTATTTATTGTAATATTATTTTATTGGAGGATATATTATCGATAAGAAGATAGAGAAAAATGAATTATAATTTAATGTGGAACAATAGGGCCAAACAATAATTCATTTTCAACCACACATTCTCGTAATAAAATATTTGCATGTAAACCTAAAAAATTACTAAACCCTACATTTTTCAAAAAATTACTATTACAAAATTCATTTTCCCTAAAAAATTATTTTAATAGCTGTCAAACAGAGCTAAATGTAATTTCCTCTTTATTTTTGTGACGTTTAGGTCTCCGAATTGTCTCTTCTGTTGCCCGTAAGAACAAATACACACACATCTCAACTTTGCCCAACCCTTCTTTCTATGTTTATTTTATTTTATTTTTTATTTAACTTATAAACGAATAATAATTACTTTCTACAGAAATTGATTTTTATAACGGTTAAATGATAATATCTCTCACGATTCAAATCTTAAGTTTTTAACCATATCCCCTCCTTCAAATCAACCCCCACCCCATCTCTGTGAAAAAGGGGTTCAATTCCATTCCATCAATCGTGATCTGTTCCTAAAGCGGAAAAAGGGTACGCATTTGAGGTTTGTTTCTTCGTGTTCATTGAAATCATCTATTTATATTATCTTGATTTATAAAAATTGA